CTTCATCAATCCCATACCATAAATATCAAGCTCCTTCTGGTAAGGATATTTTTCATCAAATTCGATGTCCAAGCAGCCTACTATGCATTATTAGACAAGATATACACAGAAATTTTTTCAGGCACTTTAAGGGTGTGGGTGCGTAGTGTGTGGGTGTGTGGAGTGTAAGTGTGAGATGTGGATGTGGGTGTTGGGTGTGGATGTGGTTGTTTGTTTTCTTCACAGTCACAGCCACACCCACATCCACACCTCCACATCCACACCCCATACCCACGCCCATACCCTCTTGAACTACAGAGGAAATATAAGAATCGGATCATTATTCATCGACTATATGAATAATTTAAAGTCCACTTTATATAATGTCTAGACGGCAGCGAAAGAAAAATTTGTTATATTGCTCCTGATGATGATTTATTAGTTCAGTTCAGAAACAATTACTAATTTTCACAATTCTTCTGTATACATATTGAATACTTATCCAAAATCTTCTTTATCATAATTTTGAGAAAAATTACTTATTTTAAACAAAATGAATATTTGAAATCTGATTTATTTTGTGAAAATATTCATTGAGTTTCTAGTCATTTAATATTTTATTGATTAAAACAATACATTTCTTTTCGTGTTACTTCTTTTTAAATAGATGCTCAATAAATATCGTGTTTGAAATGCTCATGATTAAGGGTGTTGTGTGCATTAAATTAAAAATAATACTAAGACTTTTGTGTCAGCATGAACTTAGGTGGCATATATATGCATACCATGCTACATTTCTCTAGAGTAAACAAGAAACAAGTCAAAAAATCAGGACATAGAGTTGACTGTGATGACCTCCACTGCGATAGAGTGTGAGTGTGGTTTGGAGTGTGAGTTTGGGTGCATTGGTGTGAGTCTCCTCTTCACGGCCATCCACACATCACACAACCCACCTACACATCCACACCCAGCCATTTTACTGTATGTTTTGTTTTCTTGTTTTGGTTATAGTTAAATAAAGATGTAGACATCTAAAAAAAAGCAGAAATATACAATAAAGTGTCGCATCACTCGTCATTTTATTGAACAAACATGATTTTCTTTTTTTTCCTTGGTTTCACTCTGCATCCACACTTTTCGTAAATGTTCTACTGTTGCTAGGTACAAACCTTCTTAACGGTGTGTACATTTGACCAAAATTTAGAGAAAACGAAAAAAAGGAGGCAAAGCAAACAAAGATTGAATAAAAATCGTGATTCTGCTGCAAAAGAAAGAAACAAGTCATTTGAGAAAAAGCGCAAACGGTGTACGACACAAAAAAAACTCCAATCAATCACAACATTTTATTCGATTTACCCATAATATTGCGAATTTCAGTACTTGCTGTTGGTGAGTAAATTACGAGGAAGAATCTAATAGCAAAAGAAGTTACTTTGAATTTTATATAATTAGTACCAAGTCGTAGTGAATAGTCTATCTAGTTTCTTCTCTCACTACATTCGTCGATTCTAGTTGTTGAAGACATATGAAACCAACATTCAGATATTTTATAGATGCTAATGCAACGCGGCCACATATTAAAAACATGACAAAAAGCCTTCTTTGAAAATTTTAATACAACTGAGAGTAATCATGAAAGAGCTTTGATCGGAAACAAATTTGTGAAAATCAAAGTCAGAACCAGTAGTCTGAAATTTCTCCTACGGAATTTTTGAGGCTGACTTTTGGTCAGTTCACGATTCGGATGACTCTTTGCACAGAGTAGAAAGTCCTGAAAGAATTTTGGTCAATCTCTAAAATTAACTTATCAATATTCCAAAACAAACCTAAACTTTAAAAGTTAGTTTCTAGTTACCGTATTGCTAGTTATTTAATCTATTTGGATTAATTCGTTCAATTTGAATTTAGAAAGCTTTAGAAACTTTTGATACATTCCGACATAGTTCACTACCAGTTCGTAATCGTATAATAGACGTAGATGAGATCCGCAAGAATTTTCTCGTAATAAGTCAGACAGAAATCGATTATTTATACTATGGAAGACGACTTTTCCCGGGATGAGATGTTTTCAAAATCCAGTTGAATTGTCATTCATTAATGAATGATATTAAAAAAAAGAGGATTATCTGAATTTTAATCGGAAAGAAAATCTTGCCATTGAGACTGTGGGTGAGAATTCCACACTCATATCCACCCCACAAAAAAGTACCACTTCAGATATTTTATTCAGCAAAGACTCGACAGTTGAAACTGATTATTTAACCGATCAAATTATAGATATTTGGATCACTTAGAGACAGTTTTTAGTTGAATATTTTACTAAAATATGTTCAATTATTTGACAGATCTACTAATGAAGATGTAACTTGATTCTAGAATTGAATATGAGACCAATAATCGAACATCTATACAAGACCATCTTCGCATATTTGGCAATACTCGAAACAGTCTTTGAACTTAAAACCGAAGTGAAAGTTTCGTTGAAATTTTTAAGCTATCCTAGATTCGAGATTTTAATGACAAATAGAATCAAACTATTTTTTGCCTTTTCACGATTGATACTATTTCACATTATAAAGAGATCAAACTGCAGTGATTAAGCTCTTTTCATCGTTTTCCTTGTAAAAATGAGAAAAATGAGTCATTTCGTCTTTTTTTCTGAATTGCGTTGCTTTTGGCATTTTTCTATTTTTACTCAATGTCGCACGCGAAGTATTACGATGAAGAAAAATAGCACAATATACAAATGCGTAGTTCTATTAATGTATTACACTTCAGTTACTCATTCAAAAAATAATAAATAAATGGAAATGATGAAATTCTATCTAAAGCAAAAACCAATTAGCGACACTGCAGAGTTGTCTCCTTGAATTCAGGGTCTTCCAAGTGGAGAGAAGTGGAGCGGATGACCTCAAGTCTTAGAAACTTTTCGATATGACTGAAGCTACTTTTGAAAATGAGTTGTTCGCATTCAGTTGTCATTGAATGATGAACATTAGTCTATTAATTTCGGTCGAAAGCTAAACAAATTTCTTTTTTTACTTACTTCTAATGCAGTTGACTTTCAACTTATCAACTGTTTCATTACCTATTAATTATGCAGCCAATGATGACCAACTAGATGTGTATAGAAACAAAGAAAATTCAGAATTCGAAATTGAATTGCACTGTAATTTTTGAATAAACTTTTGCCAGAGAGCCATGTCTTTCGATAGAGAATGTAATCAGTTGAAAAAAACCTGTTTTCAAAAGGCAACAACGTTTTACTATTGTGTCAAAAGTGGTACGACAAACTCTTTGTCTCACAGCAAACTATTTTCAAGTTAAAATTTCACGAAGTCGGAATCCGAAAATCAATTCTTTTTTTTTGCAAAATTGTCACTTCATGTAATATGAAAAATGACTTGAACCTCCTGTCTAACACCAGTTCTCCGTATGTCCTTGGGCCAAGTCTATGATTTCAATTATCGGCCATGCTCATACATGTAATTATAAGTGTGAAAAATTTGCCTTTCTCCTTCTCCGAGATGTTTCTATATGTCCTAATCCATATGTTTACCAAAAGACTGACAATGTCAATATCATCGAAATGCAGTTAATCGATTAGTCATATATCATAGTAGAAGTTTGCAGCCCATTGCCATGAGAAAAGTAAAAGAGTAATAGCTGTGATTGTGGGGACAAGCAATAGTTGTTTGTCGATAATTTCCTGTTTTCAGATTGTAAATGACGAATTGCAATTATTCGGTCAATATTGCAAGTGATGAACAAAGTTAACTTTGTTCGTTGCGTTTTACATTCGAAAACAGCAGCAAGATGATAATATCTTGCTCGACATATTGGAGAGTGTGAGTGTGGGTATGAGAAAATAGAGTACGAAGACGTTCATTAGCAACACTCAGACCCACACGCTACTGTCTATAATCATACCGGAACAAAAAAATTGAAGACGAAAAACCTGTTGATTTATTTTGGACAAAGACAGGATATTGGATGTCGGTCTTGTGTTCACTGAAATGCACACTCACACCCACACCATCTCTAGTAGAAAAATGATTCGTAAGAGATAGAAAAAACAGTGATTTTTTATTTGTGAGATATATTTTTTTTTTGTTTCGAAACTCAAGGTTCATATTTCATACCACCTAAGTAGTTCAAGTTTATTAGGTTCATTTAAATCAACAACTTTATTTATGAATAGTATATAATCTATTCTAATTGTATCAAACGAAAGTCATAGTCCTGAGAAGTCAGCGAGACACCTGCCGTCTTCAGTCTAAATAAACAGAGGACGCGGATGTCTTTGTATTATGTTCTCTCACACCCACACTCTCAAATGGTACGACAAGTAATTTCTGTGATTCTTTTTTTTTTAAATATTTATTAATTTTATATTTATGCATTTCAAGAGGATGATCATAAATTAATTGTTGCAGAAACAAAAAAAACAAAATTATGTATACAATAACATACTGACAAAAATACTTTATGTCATGTGGAACTTTAATAAAGTTAACTGAACAAAAACCTATACAAAAAATGAATAATTCCATACAGTTGATAAATCGTTATGTAAGAATTAGACTATTTCCTTTTAATTAGTAAACGATATAAAAGCAGCTCAGCTATTTCAACAGATGGAAAGTTAATTTTTTTATTAGAAAGAACATGATAAGTACTACAAAAGAAATTTGTATTTTAAGAACTGAATATATTTTTGCCTTTTGTTTGATTCTTCAAACCAAATAATCAACATTTTTTTTTTCGTTTATTAATACATTCTTTTAATTCATCACAAGTATATATGAATGAAGATTTTTCGTGTATCATTCAATAGAACTCTTATGTCTACGATCTTATTTTTTAGCTAAGATAAATCATTTTCAATAATATATTATATTAGATTTCGAAGTTGTTTTATAAATTAAATATTTTAATATTTTTTAAACATGCATTGTTTTATTTATTTTGATTTATTAAATAAAACCATTTCTCGATTGAGAAAAAAAGATATTAATTCTTTACCAACGTGAATGATGATGATGAAAATAAACATAATTATACTTGTCATATCGAAGTTCACATCGTCGACCACGATATTGTCGTCCACAGAGGCAATATGGATGTCCACGTGTATTAACACATCGACCACCATTATAGCACCTTCAATATATAAGAACAAAAACTAATATATGAAGAATTTCTTTTGTTTGTTTTTTTTGAGTACTCTTACCAACTAGAATCACATGTTGGACGACATGCATGACGACAATTGGGTCCATAAGTATTTGATGGACAAAGACAAACTGGTTGAAGATTTAATGGATTGACAACACAAGTTGCCCCATTTGAACATGGGTTATTAATCAAACATGGATTATTCGGTAATGGAGTTGTTGGACAATCAGGATTTGCAATAATATTATTTGAACAAAGACATATATATTGTGATGGATTTTGATTTGTTGGTATACATGTAGCACCAGCAGGACAAACAGCATTAGCACATTCATTTGGAATTACGATTGGTGATTGAGTAGTTGCAACTGTACCACCAGTACATTCTGCTGCACTTGGTTTTACTGTCATGTCTGCACACAGACATGCATAAGCATCACCTGTTTGAATACATGGAAATGAACCACATGTAGCTATTGCTGTTGGTGTGCATTGATTAGTTTGTGCATAACTTCTAGACAATTGTGAAAACAATATAACAAAAATAATGATCATACTTTTAACTATCATCATGATAACAGTTTTTGACTTGCTATTGGAGTCAATACTATTTTAAATCGAAACAATGCAGATTGCATACTGATTTTATATACAATTGAAAATTAATAGTTCGATAAATCTTCGCTATCAATTACTATATTATCCTCAATCAATATGAATAATACAAATCATGATATTGACATATGATTGTACTTTTATTATATCAATGGAGAAAAAATGATTTCAGCTAGATTAATATAAAAAACGTTTTCTTCTTGTGAATGTAATAAAATGCAATATAGAAATTTGATCTAATATTCATGATTGGGACGGATGTACTATTATCATTAAAGAATCATACAGAAAATGGTGGGTGTACATTGGTACCGTAAAATTTTTCTTAATAAAGATAAATTGATTTCTATTCACTCGATTACTTGTCATTCAAAAAAAACCAAGAAGAATATAGATGGTAAATATATGATTAAATTTTTAAAACATCAATCTTTATTTAATATATCTGAGAAAATGAAATAGTTATAATATGAGAACAAGAATGTGAAAGTTTTTTCTCATCTATATCCTAATTATTAAATTTCCGATGCATTGATAAAGTTATTATCACATCGATTGTATAGAATATTAATGTTTTGGTTACTGATAATAAATATATGTTTCAAGGACTGGATCATCTCTTGAAACTAATGCAATCACTTATAATATAAGTTTAAACTCCTGAGGTAAGTAACACAAAGCAACCGCTCTATTTTACGTATGTTTATCTTTAGTTGATAACCAAAGGGTTCCCATGATCCTGTATAGCTGTGGTTCGAATAGTTTCTATTTCTATTTTGCTGCACGTGCCGACTATTGAATCGTAATGCATTGTGTCCTATTTTTTCTTCATCTTGTAATAATTGTATGAAAGACCAAATGTTGGAACGATTTCGATAGAACAAGACTCTTCATTCTGTTCTGATATGCGATGTTAGTCAGTAGAGATTGACTCTATTTTGCTGCTTGATAGAACAGAATATTACAGAATGATTTATTAATTTTAATCGATTATTATTTTATAAACTATTTCAATTATGATAATAATAATAATAATTTCATTATTTTCTAACAATTTAATATTAATTGAAAAAACAAGAAAATATTATTAAAAATACGAGATGTCAATCATATGCAAAACATTAACATTCAACTTTAGTTTAACGAGTTGTCAAAATACACATTACGTGAAAGACATAAAATAAATCAATAGATTTAATGTGTGTTTTTTTTTCACTTTATATTTACAAATTTGAAGACATTTATAGTAGATATAAATCATATTGACATATTGAATCATTTTTGATTGCGATATGAACTTTATTTTTGTTGTGCGCAAATGAAGAATAATGTACCAATTGTTCGTCGTAAAAACATGCCGATTAGTTAACCGGTGTCTTCTTTTTTTTTTGCTTTCTTCTCAAACAGGACTGGATGTTATTTGACCTAGTTCTTTTTTTGTTTTTGTTTGGAAAGAAACAAGAGACAAAAAAACAACATTAATTGTGTTTTTTTGCGATAAACATGTCGAATGTGATTTACATTGAAGTTTTGTTTTTTGTTTATGACATAAAATAAATGATAAATTAACATGATGTGATATTACAAATCAACTATATGCATTTTTTTCTTTTTTGATTTGTATCATAGTTAATAAATAATCATACTTCAATATACATAATGTTTATTACATCAAAACAAAAAAATCTTAATTCAATGTGAAGTATATTATTTGATAGAAGTAATAAAAAGGTAATAAACAATAGAAGTTAATCATTGAAAAATTGCTTAGTTGTATTTGTTTTTTTCTACTTTGTAACTAAGAGTTATGAGAACTTTTCTTAATTTGATGTATATGATATGTATGTCAACTTTTACTAAACTTGATAATTGCCAGTTGTTTTTTAATTACTATGTGGTATTTCGATAGTACACAAGAAGAAAAAAAAACGTTCTTCTTGTTTTTTTCTTCTTCAAAAGATATAATATGAAATATTTTTAGAATAAGAGATCGAATCAAATTACCAAATCTTAACATACTCAAGTAATATTCTCATTACATTTACGACAATAATATATCTTCTATGTGTGAGCAATAATCTCAAGATTTATTACTTCATTTCTGTCGTAAATCAACGAGGTCATTGACAACAAAATTATGATGCAAAATGTTTTTTTTTTCTTCATATATTTACCAATATTAAAATCATCAAAAACAACAAAACCCTTCTTTGATTAGATTCTATATCATATTCGATAAATTCTTATCGAAAGTGTTTTACGAAAACAAAATATTCTACTCTTTTAACCCTTGAGAACGATAAAATGCTATCGACGCAATATAACATATTGCGAATGTTATCCTAGATAAATATTAGATAACGTCAGCATCTTGTTTTGCAATTACATATCTAATATACACTTTACAATAGTGAAAGTAGGTCAATGCAACCTTATACATCGTCAAATTATTGATATTTTCTTTTTTTTGAAACTAATCGATTTTGATTAATCAAATATTTTTTTTCTTTTGTTCGTTCTATTCACTTCATTAATTCAATTGTAATAAAAATAAAAAGACATTGCAATAAATGTCGTAAATGATGCAAATAAAGTATTCAGACAAAAAAAAAACTACAGAAAATTTTATATTTTTTAATTCATATTTTATTTCTTTATTTTTTCTTTAAATATTAACTTATACTAAATAATAATATAAGAAGAATCCCATTTACTTATCTGTCTCTCTATAATAAGTTCTTTCCTCATATTCTTATGTTAGACATGAAATAACTCGAATAATCTACTTACAAAAAAAAAAAAAAAAAAAGACGAAGAAGAATAGATATTGAAGAGCACAAGAAAAAAAGAATGAATACAAATGAAAGGTATGTCGCACATGCCCTTTGGTCATCATTACGCACAACAACACATATCTGTCTGCTTCAAAATTCATCTCAGACATAGGAAAAAGAAAAGAACATCAATACAAGTTGATAACAAAAAAAAAAAAGAAAGAAGAAGAAGAAGATCAAGAGAGACCGGTATAGGTGAAAACAAGACGAAAAAAAAAATGAGTAGATATTCACAAATTTATGAATGTGTGATGCTTCGCAATAATCAAGAAACATAATTATATACATTATGAAAAATATCATATCATCGCTGCCTAACTAGATTTTGATGCTTCAAGCACGAACATGAAATGGCACAACAATGGCAACGATATTAAATATATATACAATAGAAAATGGAACAAGACTATAACAAATATATATATATATATTAAATGTCGGAGTGCGCATTACAGAATGAATGAGAGACACATTAGAAGAAATGATTTGAATTTGAGACTTAACGGCTCAAATTAAGTTTAATTCACCTCCTTATTTCAAGTGTACAACCCAGCTTTCAACTGCGTTAAACGCATCACGACTACCCTGATGTTCACAAGATAGGAAAACACAAAACAAAACATATGAAGAATAACAATACTGAAAACCAGATCGAAATAATGCGTAGAACGGACAAGGAGAAAGAAAAAAAAAGTGAAAGAAAGTAGAAGAAAACAAAAAAAGAATAGAACTCATCACTGGGTAAGATAAATAATCTATCCTACTCAAGGTATACATATAACAAAGAACGTTCTTCTAATATATATATATATATAGGTGTGTGTGTGTGTGTGTTTATATGGGGAGGAAAAAAAAGTATATAAAAGTAAGACAAATAAACAAAAGATATATTGTTAAAGATTTCTTTTTTTATTTTTCTTTTCTATGACTACCAAACTCGTTCAGGATATAAAATACGATGTTCACTACCGTTATTTGCCGTACGACGACAATCAGCTGATGAACTTCGAACTTGTTGTTGATGTATGGGATGCATGACAAATGATGGTACAGGACCATATAGAAAATTTGTTGGTAAAGGATTTTGATTAGGATAAAAAAATGCCGGTGATGGATACCAATGAATAGGATAAAGAAGAGGTTGTTGATTGTAAAAAACAAGATCTGTATCTGTATGAGCTCTATGATGTATTGGTAAATTAACAGTTGGGGATGGAAGCATAAAAACAGATAATGGACTTGTTGGAACTGGAATTATTGGTGATGGTGTAAGTGTTAAGATTTCTGGTTGTGTTGGTGTTTGAGTTGAATTTTCTATCGGAGCTAAATAAAAATGTGGTGATGGTGGTGGTGGTGGTTGTGGTTGTGGCTGTGCTTGTGGTAATGTTACTGGTGTTGGACGATGAATAACTGTTTTATAACTACAGGCTAAAAAATCATCTTCATCACCCGATGTCATTGTGGCACTAAAAGAAAAAAAATATATATATATTACTTGTTTTTTTTTAAGTGTTTCTATTTTTAAACATTTATTTTCATTCTCTTTTATCATGTTAAAAGCAGTTTTACATGCACCGACACTTCTTTAGAGAAAAAAAACAAAATTGATTGTCACTATTTTCTCTTAACATCAGATCTATATATATATATAGACTTTTTTTGTGTACTGACATTCTATTGAATATTTTTTAGTTAAATAAATTTACCTTGATAATCGTCGTCTTAAAATATCAAAATTTTGATTATCATTATTATTATTATTTGATTGTATTTTATTTTGTTGTCGTTTTTTCTTTTTCATACGTCGTTTTAATATACGTGTAACACTTGAATCAGATTCATTATAATCATCATCATCATAATCATCATCACTATTATTATTATTATGATTATTTTCTTGATAATTTTCATTAAATGATGATTTTCGACTTCGTTGATGTATACTATCAATACTACGTGATCGATGATACATCATACGTTCACGTTCATCAATCATTTTTGTTATACTTAATGCATCTTTTGTAAAAGATTCTAAACGACGAATACTATTATGACTAAAATAGAAAACAAAAAAAAATTATTCTCTTATGAAATTACTTTTTCTCATAAATAAATTACCCTTGTAAAAGTGTAGGTGTATTCAAAGGTTGTTCATTTAATTCATGACTATTTTTTACCCAAGAATGTTGAAGAACTTCAGCTGCTGTTAAACGTAATGATGCATCACGTACTAATAAATGTTTTATTAAATCTTTTGCTTCATCTGATATATATTTCCAATCTTTATCAGGAAAATCAAATTCACCATCTTGTATACGTTCAAATAATAAATTTTGACATTTTTCACATTCTTCACCTTTTGTCCAACCACATATATGTCCACATGTACCATAAAATGGTGGATAACCCGATAACATTATATATATAATAACACCAAGTGACCATAAATCACAACGTTTATCATATATTTGTAATGAACCTTCAAGACTTGTCCATGCATCAACAACTTCTGGTGCCATAAATTCAACTGAACCAACCTATGACAAAAAAAAAACATTTTTGTTTTCTGTATTAAATTTCTTTTTCTGTTTTTTTGTTTACAGGTGTTGATAATTCTGGTGTTGTTATTGGTGTTGTTTTATTACTATTAAGACGAATAGCTGAACCCAAATCAAAATCACATAATTTTATTGGTACTATAGAATCAGCACGTTCAACTAAGATATTTTCCGGTTTTAAGTCCCTAAAGAAAATTTTCATAATAAATAATAATGTTTATTTTTTTTCATATACAAACCTATGACACATGCCCTTTGAATGAAGAAAATTAAGACCATTAGCAATATCACGTACGATTAAACTAGCTTCACGTTCCGTTAAACGGCTACGTTTCATTATATGATTGAGTAATGGCCCTAAAACAATAAATAAAATTTTTTTTTTTGTCTTTTATGTTTAGATTATTTACCGCCTTCCATTTTTTGAAAGACAAGATAAAAATAATCATCATCCTCAAGAAAATCAATAATGCTTAAAATATTTTCACAACCACGACAATGATAATATATATCAATTTCTTTAAATACACGTGTTCGATTTGGATGACGAGCTTTACTTATTATCTAAATTTAAAAAAAATATTTAATTTTTCTTTTCTTTTTTTAATATCTTTTTATCTTTTCTACAAATATTTTTGTTCAATCTGTCAACATTATCTGCTACTTTCTACGTAGAATTCTCTCTTTTCTTTTTTTTTTCTTTCTTTCTGTCGTGTTCTTATGTTTCTGTAGATTTATATCCGGGGTCGCTCGTTCTTTGCCCTCTGTCATTTTGTTTCTGTTAACTTGCACATTCCATTCGTCATATATGAAAACAAGGGGTCAAAAAAAAAAAAAAGTTTATCTAGAAAGAGCGTGATAATCAACATACTTTTACGGCATATTCTTGTTTTGTTACTCGATCGCGACACGTTTTAACAATTCTAAGAAATAAAAAACAAATAAATCTTTGTTTTTTGATTATATAAAGTTTATTTTTCTTTTTTTTTACCCGTGTGCACCGGTTCCAAGTAATTCTTCAGTTAATTTATATTTATCATTAAATGATATATCCGAATATGAATTAGCTGTTCGACGTTTTTTCTTTTTTTGTTGTCTTTTTTGCACGCTATTTATCGGCGAACCTTCTGATTTACATCCACCATTTGTTGAATCACGTAAAATAAGTTCTATTTGTTTTTTTTTTGAATAAAACAGAATAAAAAACATCTGTTATTGAAGAGAACGAAGGGAGGGGGGTTTTGGATTCTTATCTACCTGTTGGTTTTAATACATTTAATGATGTTGGTCGTTTTATTTGTGTTCGACCAATATTTTCAATAGTTGTGTTCAACATAGTTGATGTTGATGGACTACTATTCGATGAATCGTCATATGAATGAACAGCAACTGCATTCAATTCTTCTTCACTCTAAATGTATACATACAATCCAGTCTGATCCTTCAAAGTTCATATGGATCGAAGAGCTTAAATCTGACCATTGTGATTGTTTTATGACAGCTTACTAATCTTTCTTTTTTTTTTTGGTTATATCGAAAAAAAAATAAAAATAACTTACAAATGTGAATATGGCGTCCATTGTTGATTGGCTTTTTTTTTCCTTTGAAAATAATTTTGAATAATAAATAAATTTAATCAATTAAATTTTTGTTATCGAATAAATTTAGTCCCATCAAATATTTGTTAACTGATAGACGATCTTTCTTCTTCTTCTTTTTTTTTTTTTGTCTTATGTTTTTTTCTTCTCTTCTTTCACTCACTCACAACACACACACACTTTTGTTAGTTGCCGTGCGGCGCGCACGATAGAAATAAAAGCTAAATAGAACAGTGCGCTTGCCATTTATATCAGCGTCAATCGTGGTGTACTCTTCTCTTCTTCTTTTGCTTGCTTCATTTTTTTTTTTTTTTTTTCTCGTTCTTTTTTTTTTTTTCTTCTCTCTATTCTTCGTTTTTTTACCCGGGCAATACACTATACCCGCTCAATGATTTGCTGTAGTTTGCCGTCATAAGACTATTCGCTGAAGTTTTTTCTATATATCTCGTGAAGTGCATATGAGAAGAAAGTGATAGATTAAGGGACATAGAGAAACACGTGCTCGTGCTTATGGATATATCACTCGATCAGTAACCGATAGGAAATGCCATAAAACATATGAGAAAAATAATTCTAATGATAATAATCTATTACATAGTCTATAAAAGAGAGTGAGAGAGAGAAGAAAAGGGTAATTAGTTCGATCGTTACTTGAGATATTTTGATAAAGTAAAGACAAACAAATGTAAGATGATGACCAAAAGAAGAAAGCTGATTACTACTTTATTTTACGTATTAAAATAATGATGCTTAAAATAACAAAAGAAGCCTTAAATAACATCAATTTTATAAAATTTTCAAGTGTTTATTTAATACTAAAACAAAAAAGAGAAGAAGACATCAACAAACAATTTTCTATTTTTACAAAAAAGAAAAATATTAATTTCATTAAATCCTTGTCTTTTCTTTTTTTATCAAACTTCCTGTTTGCTTAGACTAATATCTTGTTCTACTTAATACATATATATAACACGTACGATGATGATTACTACACATGATATGATATTAGTTTATATATATATAGACAGACAACAGATGTGTGTGTTTTTTTTTATTGTTTTTTGCGAATAGTTATGACTTATTCTTTTTTATTGTTATCGTTGAAGATAAAAATGACACAGAGAAAATAAATGAAAGCCCTCAAGCATAATGATCACTTTCTCACATATGTTAGGTGTGAAAAAAGGATTAACGAAACTACACATAGTATCTATTGTATAAAAATCGATTCAATTAGAAATGAAAGAAAAAATTTCATGACATAGCATTACGAGGACAAACCCGATTAAAATCAAAATAGATTGTAAGTATACTTTGTGTATATATATATGTCACTTTGCCATACATATCTTCAATGACAGATAGTGATAGAATAAGAAAAATCTTTTGACATTCGTTGTTAAAATATATTGACATATATTAATATTCACTGGCATAGTTGACTACGGAAAGAAAAAGAAAGAACGCAAGTAAGTTATTCAATTTCTGTTTTTAGAAAGTCAACCTTGATATTAATGTGCGCAGCACATTGCATGAATGATATTTCATTAGTTCAATTAAATGTATGGAGCAAGGTGACAAAAAAAAAAACGCAATATAAATGTAGGAAATTGAAAGTAAATTTTTTCATCTTCTTGATTATTTTAAAATAATTTTACAATAATCTTTTATCTTTGAAACAAAAAAACAAGAGAGAGATATTTTTTTTTTTTTCATCATAAACAAGGAAATAATTTAAATGAAGATCATTATCAGCATGATTTCACAGTTGAGTTAAAACAGGCAAACGCCTACATTTTTTTTTCTTTTTTATATATATTTACATATCCTTAAACAATTTCTTCTGTTGTCATGCACATCTACTTATCATTATTCTAAAAATAGAACAAAATAGCAATGAACAGATTTTCCTTGCGGCTTATTAATGAAAAATAATATGACACCTAAAATAAGTCTATAATAGTTTACAACGACAAAAGTAAAAATATATACAAACCATTAAAATTCAATTGTTGAAAGTGAAAAAAATATATATTTTTTTTTTCATTAATGCTAAAGAAGCTCTTTCATTTTCTAGAATATAATTAATATTTTCTCTGAAAAAATTATTTAAATTGAAAATATAATAAGCAAGTATTTCATCCTTATCTTTAGATTATTATAAGACTTTTCTTTTTCTTTTTTCCTGATGTAATACGATGAACGTAATTGATAGAATAGAATACTTCAACTTTCTAGTGACTTACCACAGTTTATTATGAATATAGAGAAAAATCTCAATTCATATGTTCTATTAACTTGAGTCATTTTTAAATAAGATTCAAAATTTAATTAATATACTTTTTCATTTATTTTTATTTTCTTCGACTAATACAAGCGAGATCGTTCATCGTATAATAACGAACAAATGAAAAAAAACAAAACAAAACCATATTATAACGAAAACTACTATTTTCGTCATATATAAACATCCAAAAACAAACAAATAAAACACACACATATAAAGAGATGAGTGAATATGAACGTAAATAATGCTTAAATCGTCTACAAAACAAATCATTCTCCAACGATAAGTTTTGTCTAATGACGATCTTATCATATAAAAATAGCAAAACAAGAAAAAAAAAGAAAGAACCACGCATACAGCACCAAAAGAAAAAAAGAAGAAGAAGAAGGAAAACAAAGCAAAATTAAACAAATTCACACACGCATATTATTTGATTCATTTTTATTTGATGTGTGCAAATCAATATTTATATATACATATACAAAGATAGGGACCGGTTAATAAAATACTTGAATAAAAAAAAAAAAAAAAAAAAAAAAGAACACAATATTCGTTCACTTAGCACGATTTGGAAGTGTTGAAGATTTTTGTTTCGGTGTTAGTCCAGTATTATTACCGAATAGATTGGAAGTCGATGAACTCATACTTGTATTTGACGAACGAAATGATGCAGTACTTGTTCTAAATTCATAATAAAGACAAATTCAAATATTTTTTGTTGTAAGAATTTTTTTTTTTTTTAATGAATCAATCATTTGGTACATGTCAAATATGAAAGCGAACACATAACACGTACCGATCATGAGCAAAACATTAATAGAGCGAAAAATTTTCTTTAAGCATCTTAAAAATTTATATAAAACATACATAAATTTATTAATACCAATCCTCATCACTAGGTAAATTCATAGGTGGACTAAATATGCATACAGATAATTTACTTCTTGGAATTAATAGGGAAAATAAAAAACAGATAATAGAGACAAAAACTCACTAAGATTTTAAACGGTTAGTAGGCATTGTTGCTGATTTGTGTATAGTTCTTGAAGGATTTTTACTTCTTTGTCTGCAAAAAAAGAAACATTAAGAGAGATAGACAGTTCTTTTTTTTTTTTTTACACTTTATAGATAATAAATGCGGAAACTTCGGATTCAAATCCGAGAGTTATGTGTACTCGAAAAAGTGAATCATATAAAATCAATTATCCTAGACTCTCGAAAACATCAATATTATACTCGGAAATCTACCATTTAAAATGTTCATTTCTATTGCGGGTTGACAAATCAATAGGATTTGAGACCGAATTAAGCTCAGATTTCAACTCTTCTGTCTAATTTAGCCTCAGAAAGCCGTTTTACCTATAACTTAATTTCTATTGGTCAATGTTCAACCAATAGACCTTCGAGGCAAGCGGAGTACAGATTCGAGTTCTCCATACTAGAAAACCTTCGATTATCACCTCTATGATAGAAAGACAGAGTTCCCCTTGAGGACCGATTGAAGCGTGCACTACAAACCGATCTTATTCCCGCTTATTTATCTTACGAATAGGTGAGTTAGTTTTGTTGTTTCTTAATATTTTATATATCATTCTATAGCTCTTGAAATTCTCTATCGAATGGTGCATAATAGTTGGGGTTTTAATTGACTATGATAGGAAAAGTTCTTTACGAAAGTGGTAGTGGGTCGACTTTTCCATAGGAAGCCATAGGGGAAAATGCGTATTTTTGCAATAACGCAGGAACGCCTCGGCCGATCCTTCTCATCTTCGAATTCGATCAAGATATTGTTAAGATTAAGGTGTGTAGAAAGTTTCATCGCAATCTGACTCTGCTGTCAAAAGCTATCATGTAAACATCCGACCGGACGGACGGCCACTGACTATCCTATAGTGTACTCACTTTTTGAGTACACAAAAACTATAATTTGCTTCAAAACTAATATCAGATTCAGAATCGACGTTAAAAACTGAGTCGATTAATCTATTTTGTGAATAATTATGAGCAAAAAACTTTTTTTGGAAAAATCCCCGTACCCCCCCTCAGGGATGGCCTGGTCAAAAATCACCATTTTTTTTATAACTCAGCCATTTCTCGACGGATTCTTCTCATCTTCGAACTCGACCGAGATATTGTAAAGACTGAACTGTGTAGAAAATTTCATCGCGATCTGACTCTCCTTTCGAAAGTTATCGGATAAACGGACGGCCGGCCGGACACACTGACCGATTTTAGTAGTGTACTCACTTTTTGAGTACACAAAAACTGGCTGTAGGGTTAAATAAGGATTTTTCGAAGTTGCATCAAGGAAGGTAAAATTATTCATTTGAATGAACTAATCTACTAAAATCAAATTTATGATAGACTAACTATAAGGTCGAGCATTGTCTTTAATCCTATCCTATTGAGATAAAAAAAAGGTTTTATTAAATACTCTATTTGATAAGACTGAATTATTAAATGTCATTCATTGTGACCTTCTATTAATACTATTCGTAAAATGATTGATTATTCTTCAAAGCTAATATCCATGAAAACTTAAGAGAGAGAATATTTAGATTTAATTTTTTTTTATTAAGAGGACTAAAATAAGATTC